CATGACTTAATTGAAAAAGAAAATTTTGAAGTTTATGTATTTTCTTTGGACATCTCTTCAATTTTAAGTAACCTAATTTTTTTATTCAATAAAATAAGAATGTAGTAATTAAGTGATAAAATTTTTTATTTATTCTTGTTTACATATATTGCAACTATTTTTTAAAATAAAAATAAAATAAGAATTAGAGCTTTATACAAAGCATATCATTAGAATATAGGCCAACTTTCCATAAAAGAAAAAAAAAAAGGAAATATAGGGCAACTAATTTAAAACGACTTTAATTAAAAAGTATAATAATTAAAGTAGGACAGGTGAGAATTATTCACTTTGATTGGGTAGGTGTAAACTAATTAAAAATTTAAAATTTTAAGTTGAAAATTTCAATTTGAGTTTTGAGTAGTGATTTGAGACAAAAAAAATTATTTCTTATTTGTATAATTCATTATCAAAATTGATGTAAAAAGGAAAAATCACTTTGATTGGATAGGATTTTACCATTGGGCCGGAATCGAACTAGGTTGAATTAAATGGACCGAATTCGGAGATTAGGTTCTTAGCCTAACCCAACCCAACCCAAGCCCATTTGTAAATGGGTTGGGTTTGCTTATCCCTGAACAGGGCATCCATGAAGACCAACCCCTTCTCTTCCACTTCCTGGAACAGGAAAGAAAAGCACTCATCTACTTGTTTTTAGGGTTTTACATACTCGAGTCGGTCGCAGCAGCAAGCGGGGAACAATGGAGAGGAGACAGTTGACGGCAGAATCGGTGCCGTTGTTCCAAGAAGGAATAGGTTTGCTCCTGTATCGGTGGTCGGTTCTGCAACTGGCCGTCGAAAACGAGTGGGGCGGCCGCGACTCTCGCCGCAAAGCTGAGCTCGTCCTCTCTGATGTCTTCTCCTTGGAAGAAATGCAATACCATCAGCATCAGCCAGTAAAGCATAAACATGGGGGATTATTCTTACCATAAAACCTTTGAGATGATTAATCATATATTTGTATGTCCTTGTGTTGATCATAGACAAACCCTGCTCCACAAGTTGTACATCGTAGCCTGCAAGATTAAGGAATGATTGACAGAGCATGTACATAACTATATGTGTAAGTATGAAAGAGAACCCCAAAACTTACTGCCTGTGAAACACTCTCCTTATATGAAGAAATCTTGGGTTTTGATCGGTGGAGATCTCCGAAGCCAGTTCAATAGGAAATTATGGGCACTGCCGGCTAAGTCCAAGAGAAACTCTGTCTTGTCATATAAACCCACAAACTTGGTGACAGCGGAAGGCATATTGGTTTAAAACACAACTCTAACCAGGGATTCCACAAAAAGCAGAGTATTGTCTTCTGCAGGAGAAAGTTGAATTCAACTATATATCAAACAATTAAATGTCCTGGGTTTCAATTGAATACATGGTTGAATTGTACAAATGGAAATATAAAAGTAGGTGAAAATGATAGCAAACCTCTATTTGAATCATATTTATTGAAACAAAGGCGAATTCCTTTCTGCCAACTCTAAGAGGATCCGATTCCACAGCTCAGCCGCATTGTATCCTATTGAGGAACCAGCAGGTACTTCAACGGCAAAAGGACAGTTATCCAATTAGACCATACCCAGAGCACCAGAAAAATAAAAGGGCTAATTTTTATACCAACTTACATATACATTCATATAACCTCCATTAATCTCATGTCATCCTTGTCCAAAGAAATCCCCAATGGCCAATTCTTCAAGCAAACTTGCTGCCATAAGGTTAGAGAGTCCCTCAGGCAACATGGAGAAAACATAGTACCAATGATCAGGTAAACAAATAACAGCCATGACATCCATTAATGATCACATTGGAGAAAAGACAATATTAAATCCTCTAAAATATAATCTAAAACCACTTAATCTTGGATGGAAAAGTGCAAGCAATTAATTAACAATTTATTGGGACCATGACACAGCAACTGATGGATCACTCTATTTTACTAAAAAGAAGTAAATTGCACAAATTTAGAGTGCTGCAGCTAGTGCCAAAACTTTAGTGAGATTTGCATTAGCAACGTTGAATCAGAGTTGAGGCCCCAAAAAAAAAAAAATAACACTGAATCATGAGAAGAGTTAAGACATGTCTTGCCATATTAAAAACTTGACAAAACAAGATTGGTACTAGCAAGTTTAAATAAGTTATTAAGTTTAAAAGGTTAGAATGTGAAAATGAAGAGCATAACAAACCATTGCTCAAGCAGGTTCTCCTCAATTTTGTTTTGTCATGTAAGTCCCAAAGTAGGTTAATTTTGGAAGAGTGAATGTAGCTCTTCGATCCATTGTCTGATTTCCTTCCCCTTTTTTCTATGCTATTACCCTTTGCAATCATGAATGTGAAGATCCCGCAGCTTTTCAAAGGGAAACAAATTCTTCATTCTTGAACAACTAATAATTACACAAAATTCTTTAATTAGAAAAAGATGTGATGGAATGTTGGTACGTACAAGCAATGCATGAGTAGTTGCTGTTCCTTTCACTTTCAAATGATCACACATGAATCACAGTGACCGGTAATTATAAAGGAATTAGCATCCAATTAAGAGAGATAGACATCATATGGAATTTGTCAAAGTAAAATCTAAAAACACTGAAATCTTGAAAATTTACCAGGGTAGAATAGGAAGGTAGAGACAGTTGGTACAGAAGAAAGCATAATCTAAAAGCAAGAGGAAAGACAGTGAAGGACTGCAGAAGTGTGCTCTGGCATGGAACTTAAGATGCTCAAGTTAGCCACAGAAGTTTTTAACAAAATCAATAGATCAAATATGAGAGAAATTCATACCTTGGGTCTGTTATGGCCTATGTATAGGTTGAATGGCTGCAAGAGTTGAACAATAAGCCAACTATACCAACTCAAATATATCCAATTCACATAAACTCCATTAAGTCAGATGCTGAGCATTAGGGCTCAGCTTCAGAGAAGTAGTATATAAGAGCCCTGCAATATGGTTCAATAGGTTGTGTGATACAGAGTAATGACATTTGGATAAACAAATAAGAACCATAATATGAATTGAGGAGCACTTTGGTGAGAAGACAGTATCAAATCCTTTAAAACCAGTTAATATTTGGATGAGAAAAATAGAATCCACTAATTATTGGTGTAGAGGCAGTTGGAGGCAAGAAAGCGCATTAAATCAATCTAAATTCTGCTTACTATTTTGGACTTGAAAATAATTGTTGATCTCCAAATATGGGTGTGTTGGTTGTAGAAAGCTAAAGGTAAGTCACAGAGACTGTCACGTTAGCCACAAAAGAGTTTAACTAAATTGATAGATCAAATAAATATGAGAGAAATTCATATAATTGTATAAATACATACCTTGGGTTTGCTGTGGCCTACATATGTGTGTGTGTGTGTGTGGGTTCAATTGCCACAAGAGTTGAACAATAATGTGATTAAAGAAATTAAGATGTTCAGGTCGATATAGTTAACAGTCACAAAACATAAATCAGGAAATTTCTCAAATCTATTTTATTGCTTATTACAACACAAAATAAAATAAATATTACTTAAACAAGCATTGATTAAACAAAGTTTATCCATAGTACTAAACAAAGTTTATCCATAGTACAAAACAACAAATTACAACAGAGATTTCATTGGATTGAAGTGAGTGTGAGTGCCATTTTTTTCCTATTTTCCTTAGCTGTATATGTTGCT